GGCAAGTTTTTGGAGGCTCTGACGTGTGGTCACCCTCTTTTACAGCTTTTCCCTGAACTTCTGTCATTTTCTCTTCAGGTTTCTTGTCTTTCTGCTGATTTTCAACAGATTTAGCTCTCTGTTTTGGTGACACATCTGCTGATCCCTTCTGAGAAGTAGCTGGTGTTAATGTAGTCGTCACAGGAGTATGTGAAGCTGATGAAACCTGTTGCTGAGTTGCAAGGAGTGTGGTGGAGGATTCATCTTGTACAGCGGTGGAGATAAGATTAGAAGCCGAACTCAACAGGGAAGAACCAAATCCAAAGACCTTCCCAGAAACACTGGAAGCAGCAGGTTGGGGAGAAGGTGATCTAGAGCGTCCAAAACCAAACAAGCCACTCTCTTCTTTTGTGGATGCAGCCTTTGGTGAGGCAGTAGATTTTGTGGATACAGTATCATCCTTCTGTGTTGGCTGTACTGGATTTTTGATGTCCTGCTGCTGGGGTGGATTCTGTGTTGGTGGAACTGCACTAGCCTTCCTAGACCCTGGTGTTGCACCTTTAGATAGTGAAGTATTTTCTTTTTCAGTAGCATCTGTGGAATCAAGTGGCTTCTTCTGGGGAGGAACAGGAGTTGGTGTTGCTTTCTTTAGTGGTGATACTGGTGGAGGTACTTTGTCAGTCTCAGCTTGAGCTCTTTGCATCTGGCAGTTCAGACATAGCCACTCCTTTTTCTGAAACAGCATTCCAATAATCAGTATAAAATTGAGCACACAGAATACTACAAGAAACATATTTGAAATATTAAATAATTTTTAAATATAATTTTAATGCATTTTTTTCATGCTTAAAAAGTCTAAAGTCATAAATGTTGGTGCCCATAATGTCATATACCGAGATACTACCACAATACTAATTAAATAATAAGTATAATAATGAGAATAAGGTGTTTTATGTTCAAGGTAAAAAGGCTGCTTACCTCTGTCTCATGGGGCATGGGGTTAAAGCCACATAGATTACACACAGTGTTTTTGCAGTCGGTACAGGTATTGTAATTGGGAGGCTCCTTCTGCAAATCGACTTCACAGAGAGGGCAGGCTTTGGGAAATGATTTAGTGGGCTCTGTCCTTGTTGTTTCTGGTAGATCTCTATCTTTTGTAACTGATACAATTGTTGGCTGTGCCTGACTGACCATGGATTTCTTATCTTTTTTTATCTGTTCTTGTATATTTTCAGGATGTACTTTTTTGTCATCTGAAGGAAGAATTTTAGGAGAGACATCAGATCCTTTTGAGGAAGCAGGAGGTGTGCCGGTCTGAGAAACTCCAGAACCCTTTCGTGAGGAAGGTGGAGTGGTAATTTTATCTGAAGTCTGGGAAACTGAAGAGCCTTTACGAGATGAGGGTGGGGTTGTAGTCTTAGCAGATAGTTGGGAAGATGTGGATCCTTTGCGAGAAGTGGGTGGTGTTGTAGAAGGCTCATCTAGAGCTGATGAGATCAGATTACTTGCTGAGCTAAAGAGGGAGGAACCAAATCCCAAAACCTTCCCAGAGACAGCAGATGCTGCAGGTGGAAGTAACGGAGTCTGAGATCTACCTCTAGACTCTTCAGGGATTTCAGAGGAGACAGGAATATGTCCATCTTGGGACTTTCCTTGTCTTTGCTGCTGTGGGGTAGCTCCTTTAGTGGTTTCTTCTCCTTTTTTTGCAACTTTAGTTTTTGCCCCATCTGTATTTTCAATGCTTTTAGAGTTTACTGCAGCTTCAGACTCCTTCTGTGAGGTTGCAGGAGTTGTTTTAACAGACGTCTGTGAAACTGTAGAACCCTTACGAGAGGAAGGTGGAGTGGTATTAACTTTACTGGAGATTTGTGAAACTGCGGAAACTTTGCGAGAGATTGGTGGTGTCTTATCAGATATTTGAGAAGCTGTTGAAGCCTTGCGAGAACTAGACGGTGTTGTAGAGGACTCATCTTGAACAGCTGTTGAGATTAGATTAGATGCTGAGCTTAAGAATGAAGAACCAAACCCTAGAACCTTCTCTGAGACAGCAGGCTGAGGAGAAGGTGATCGAGATCTAGCTCCTCCAAAACCGAACCCAAAGAATCCAGGTTTATCTGGTTGCGGATCAGTTTTTTGAGATTCTGACTTTGGAACTTCTGCAATATGATGTTGTTTCGTTTCTCTTTGGGTGGGTTGTTCAGTTTCTGCTAATGTTTGCTTATTGTCTTGTTTCTCTTCCACTTCTGGTTTCTTATCCTTTTGAACGGCATCTGCTGGAAGATGTGGCTTTTTCTGTGAAGCATCTGGAGTGGGAGTATCCATTTTAAGTGGTGCAGCTTCCTTAGCGTGTGACTGAAGCTGTGCAGGATGAGGTTGTGGTGCTTTCTTCATCTGACACGCCAAACACAGCCACTTCATCTGTAGTTTTGTAAAGTATATTGAATTAATCATTTTGTAACTCAAACTTACATTATACAGCATCCCAGACTTAAGTGGATTAACCGCACTGCTTATTAACTTGGCTCAAATAAATTAGATTAAAGAAGAGGTGAGCATTGTTAGCTCTCCTGTCAACATAAAACTGTTGGTTCTCAAATTGCATCATGATAGTTTTCCATTAAAGTCAGCATTTAAGTCAGAATGAGCTCAAAATTTACACTATTTATTCTCTTAATGCAACTCACTGGTCTTATTGTAAACAGTTTAAAACAGTCTTAATTTGTTCTTCTTGTGATATGCTCTCTTCTCTGTGCAGGCATATGCAAGACCACACAGCATTTAAGATCTGCCTCCATTCTGGTATGCAATGCTTACTTTTCACAATCCAATCGATGGTGTCCCTCCTTGTTTGTTTTTTCTTGTTTGATAGAAGTTTTCCTCAGAAATGTCACAATTTGTTGATCTGCGTAACTCTTTATTTTGATAGTCCACTTTAGACATTCTACTAACTATAAGTAACATTGTAACTACATGTCGACTACCAGTTATTAGAGTATTAGTAGACTTTCTGCTGTATCTGCTAACACTGTATTTTGATGATCACCGAACACCCAACAGACACAAGTACACATCAGCTCGTTGTGACCTAACCCTAACCTAACAGTCTACTGATACTCTAATGAGTTAGTTGACATGTAGTTGGAAAGTTACTTACAGTTAAAGGGGTCATATGATGCGATTTCAATTTTTCCTTTCTCTTTGAAGTGTTACAAGCTCTTGGTGCATAAAGAAGTTGCAAAGACTAAAGTCTCAAATCCAAAGAGATATTCTTTATAAAAGTTGTCTAATGTGGACTACTGAAATAACGTGTAACTTAAAGTGGTTTGCAATTTCCATTCATGCTGACTTTAACAAAACAAAATTAAAAAAACAAACTGTTCAACACAACAGTGATATTTTCTTACCTCATCTTCATGGGGCATAGGGTTGAACCCACACAAGTTACATACGAAATTTTTGCATTCAGTGCAGCTGTTGTACTGATCTTTCTTGAGCTCCACCTTGCAAATTGGGCAGACCTTGGGAAGAGGCTTGGATATAGGTGTCTCTGATTTATCCTCTTTTACTTTATTTGATGGCTCCTTAGCCTGTTGAAGTGATGGTGTCTTCTCCTCTTGTTTCTGTCCAATTGATAGTTTAGTATCTTTACTAGGTTGAGCTTTCTGGGAACCTTGTGTGGTTACAGAACCTTTTTGTGAGCTAGGAGACGTTGTGTTGTTGTTGAACAATGACTGAGATACTGTAGAGCCTTTACGGGAGCCAGGAGGAGGTGTTGTTTCTGAAACTGACGAACCTTTGCGGGAGGTTGGCGGTGTTGTGGAAGGTTCATCCTGAACAGCTGATGATATCAGATTAGAGGCTGTGCTAAGGAAGGAGGAACCAAAGCCTAAAACTTTCCCAGACACAGCAGAAACAGCAGGTTGAGGTGAAGGAGACCTGGATCGAGCCCCACCGAAGCCAAAACCAAAAAATCCAGACTCCTCTTGATGAGGTTTGTCTGATTTCACCTGCTGTGATATCTTCGGTTGACTGAGCTCTTGTGGTGTCACATCAGTGGGCTCCTTTCTCCCTACTACAGCTGTTTTCTGACTAGTTCTGGTGGCTTCCTCCACATTTTGTTTCTTCTGCACAGATTCTGGAACATCTTGCTCCTCCTTCTTTGGCACTGGGGCTACTTTCTTAGCTTGATCTTGAGGCTCTGCATGGGAAGGCATTGATGCTCGCTGCACCTGACAGGTCAAGCAAAGCCACTCCTTTGCCTGCCAACAAATAAGAGAGTTTGAGAAACCCCAGACAAAATTGTTTCCACAAAGCTCTTAAACTCTGGGTTAAAATAAGATTATTGATGCAGGTTTGATCATACAAAAACTTACACAGCAATATTGCTGAATTAGCTGTGGAATTATAATACTGTCAAAAATATTTTATATTAAAGGTAAATACTGTAGAGCAGGGCTAGTCAACTCCGGTCCTGGAAGGCCAGTGATCTGCATAGTTTACTTCCCACCCTTATCCAACACACCTGTTCATCATTTTTAAATAGTCCTGAATACTTTGATTAGCTTGATCACCTGTGTTTGATTAGGATTGGAACTAAACTCTGCACGACACCGGCCCTCCAGGAGCCGAGTTGAAGAGCCCTGCTGTAGAGCCCACAGCTCATTTTCCAAATACTGAATTATCTTACCTCGGTTTGATGAGGCATGGGATTAAACCCACAGAGGTTACATACAATGCTCTTGCATTTAGTGCAGGTGTTGAAGTTAGAAGGATCTTTCTTGAGCTCTACTTTGCAAAGTGGGCATTCTTTAGGCAGAGACTGAGAGGACATATCAGCTGCTTGAGGCTTTGATGGAGGTGTAGATGGTGCTTTGAAAGGTTGAGATTGCATGGACTTCTTGTCTGCCAACTGCTTTTGAGAAAGAGGCTTATTTTCCACAGCCTGCATTTTTGTTGAGTGTTGGGATGCTGTAGATCCCTTGCGGGATGTAGCTGCTGCTGCCACAGCAGATGTGGTTTTGAGAGATGTCTGTGAAACCGATGAACCCTTACGAGAGGCGGGCGGCGTTGTAGACTTCACCGAGGTCTGAGAAACTGTTGTACCTTTACGAGGTGGTGGCGGTGTTGTGGAGGACTCATCTTGAACTACTGAAGATATGAGATTAGATGCTGAGCTGAGGAACGAGGAACCAAACCCTAGAACCTTCTCCGAGACAACAGGTTGAGGAGAAGGTGATCGAGATCGAGCACCACCAAAACCAAAGCCAAAGAAACCTGTATCTTCTTTGGAGGAATCTGATTGTGTTGTGGTTTCGGATTTGGCTGGGGCACTACTATCTTTTGGCTGTTGAGGTTTTATAGTTTCTTTCTGTGCAGGTTTTTCATTTGGGAGATTTGCTGTTTTTGACTGGTCCTCAGTTCTACTGGCTCCTGGAGGAGGCTGATGTGGAGCTGTTTTGTCTTGTTGTGAGCCAGCATTAGTCTGTAGCTGGGGATTTAGACTTGAAGGTTCAGGTGCTCTCTTTATCTGGCAATTTAAACAGAGCCATTCCTTCACCTGCATGACCAAAATCACAACCACAAAACCACAAATCAACATTATTGTCCTTCAATAAATCAATTATGACCAGTAGAGTAAAATAAACTTTCTCTTACCTCTTTTTGATGAGGCATGGGGTTAAATCCACAACGGTTACACACAATGTTTTTGCAATCGGTGCAGGTGCTAAAATTAGGAGGATCACTGGTAATATCTGCCTTGCAAAGTGGACAGATTTTGGGAAGAGGGAGGGGAGTTTTGTCAACTTTTGCAGACAATGTTTGGTCTGTTTTTGCTTTCACAGAAGATTTACTGGATAGCTGAGGTGACTCAGAAATCTTTTTTTCTTGTTTTTGTGCAGTAGGTTGTTTATTATCCCCTGTGTTTGTGGTCTGTGGAACAGCAGAGCTCTTCCGAGACGTGGGTGGTGTTGAGCTCTGGGAAACTGTGGAAGCTTTGCGGGAGGTTGGTGGTGTTGTAGATGTCTCATCTTGCACAGCTGAGGATATTAAATTAGATGCTGAGCTGAGAAAGGAGGAACCAAAGCCAAGAACCTTCCCAGATACAGCAGACATAGCAGGCTGAGGAGATGGAGACCTTGACCTAGCACCACCAAAACCCAAAAATCCAGTTCCTTCCTTGGCTGTCTTGGCAGAAACTTCAGATTTGGCTTCATTTTCTTGCTGCTGGGCTTTTTGGATGGGCAGAGTACCATTTAGAGCCTTGGTTTGTTGTTCTTGTAATTTCTGAGGAGGGTCAATTTTCTTGCCTAATTCAGAAACACCTTTCTTTTGAATTGAGGGTGAAGCCATTGGTTGAGTGGAAGGGATTTTGTTGGGCTGCGCTGCTCCTGGTGGCTCCATTCCTCTTAGAGCTCTTTGAGTCTGACAGTTCAGACAAAGCCATTCTTTCAACTAAAAAGTAAGACAAAGTGGTTAACATGTTCACATATCATTCAAAACTTTTAAAAAGTATTAAAAGTCAACGTAACACTACCTCTGTTTGATGTGGCGTTGGGTTGAACCCACATAGATTGCACACAGTGTTTTTGCACTCAGTACAAGTGTTGTAGTTGGCAAGGTCCTTTTTGATTTCTACCTTACAGAGTGGGCAGGATTTGGGCAAGGTTTGAGGGCCTTTGTCTGCTTTTGGCATCTGTGAAGACGGTTCGGCTTTTTTAATTTGAGATATTGGTGCTTTGTTCTTTTGGTCTGCATTTAGCTCTGTCGTTTTCTCTTCTTTCTGACCATCTGATTGATTAGCCTTTCCTGTAGATGCTGATAATGCAGCCCCTTGCGATGATGCGGAGCCTTTGAGAGACGTCGGTGGAGTAGAAGTCTTGAGGGAAGTTTGAGAGACTGAAGGTGCTTGAGGGTTATTTGGTGGTGTCGTAGAAGGTTCATCTTGAACCGCTGATGAAATGAGATTAGATGCTGAGCTCAGGAAGGACGACTTAAATCCTAGGACCTTACCAGACATGGCCGAAACAGCAGGCTGAGGGGATGGTGATCGTGACCGGGCTCCACCAAAGCCCGAAAAGCCGAAAAATCCTGACTGTTCTTGCTCAGTCTCAGCCGGTGGTGCTGCTTTAGACACAGAAGGAGAGGGGGCATTTTTTGCTGTCGGTTGCTGTAAAGGCTTAGGAGAGGGAGCTTGCTTTGCTCCTGCTGCACTAGTCTGTTCATGCATTTCCTTTTTCTGAGAAGCAGGTTGGTTGGCAGGACTAGTCTTTGTTGGCTGAGCTGTGGGCTGTTTCTCTAAAGGACCATGTGTAGATTCCATCTTTTGAGATTTGCTGGGCTGTGTTTGGGACTTTATAGTGGGTTGTCCCGGAGGCTCTATTCCTTTCAGCGCTCTCTGTGTCTGGCAGTTTAAGCAAAGCCACTCTTTTGCCTTCAAAAACATTACAAAAAATAAGTTAGTTCTCCACATTTATTTTACAACATGAATAACAAATGATAAAAAGATATATTTTGCAGGACGTATGTAAATTGACCTCACAAGCAGATATCACATAACATTACTACTTGTAGCTTTAAATAAATATTTAGAAAACCCTCAGTGACCCAAGCATTGGTGATTCATTCTCTTTTTTGGTTATTAAAGATTTTGTGTGTGTGTGACTGATTACAATAAAAACAATAGAAAATTGTTCTGTACTCTGAAAGTGTATATTTATTATTCATATAAATATTTCAAACACATAAAAAAAAACATGATGTGTATTTATATATTTTGGTTACTTTTAGAAAAATGTTGCAAATGCTTTCATGAGAATCCTTCCCAGCAAGATGAAATTTGAATATGTCAGAGCAGCCCTTACAACTATAAAACTCTCAACTATAGAGTTTCATGACCCTGTAATACTCCTACACATCACAGACAACTGTAAAGTATACTGAAAATGCATATTCTGCCAGAGGCCTACAGAACTACTTTTATAAGCACTTTCCAAGCTAGAAGGATGGAACCTCAGTATGTTCATCTCACACCAGCCCTAAGACACTCTTAAATGTTTTATTATCCTGAAAATGCAAGTTTTAGAGGCCGACAGTGTAGTCTCTCTGACTTCCCAGTAAGCTAGAAGGCTGAAACAAATATTTTCATATCAGAGCAGTCCTCTGATGACCCATAAAGTCCCATTAGGCTACACAGAAAATCATTTGAAATATTTATCAATGGGTCAATGGGCTCTTTTGTGTTACAAACAACACAACCATAAAATGTGGATTACCAAAGCTAACTGTAGTATTTGTGCAACATTCAGAAAAATTGTCTTATTTGCATAAGCTTATATATACACACATACTGTGCACATAAAAAATTCACAACTGACATTACAAAAAGACAGCTTCTAAAATCAGATCAAAAACAGCTTACATTGGTGTCAGAAGGCAGTGACAGCACTGTTACTTTGGCATGCTGGGGGGGAAAAATCTGTAAATGTTCCTGCCAATTTTTTTATGATACATTTCAGAGTTTGAGCTGGTGTTAAATATGTATTAACTCTTTAAACACCTTTTGTTCGCTTTTTGGTATTTTGCTACAATGGATCTCTGAGGGTTAAATTAAATCCCCTCTGTATCTCAAAGTTTTATTTATATTTGTGCTGCCTGCACAATTCTCAAGCACACGGCTCATCCTGAAGCCCAAATTTAATCTCTGGAGAAAGCCAGCAGCACTCTTTTTTAGGCCTAAGGAAACAGACTAAATCATTTAGATAATTTTAGCATGGGATAAAAATATACACAGATGTGTTGCATTTGCAAATTCTCTAGACTTAAGGCAATTATCAGGTTTGAATAGCTCATGATTAAACACTAACCACACAGTTGTGGCCATAAATGAAGGTGACCTTCATATCGGAGACATATTTTTTCACTATTATCTAATTTCAACAACACTGAGCACTTGACACTGAGCACAACCGAGTAGCAGATGCCACTGTAATCTACACCTCATCTCTGTGCTTTTGAACTCTCTTGGAAAAGTCTTAGATGTTATCTCCGAGGACAACCCACTGATCCCCTGTCTGCTGAGTTTTCGTCACACAGCCGGCCCATGTGACCCAATAGTCTTGGAGTCACCTTGCCCCAGGCTGCACATAAACTCTGAATGGTTAATTACAGAGTCAAGTGTCTTTTGTGCTCAACACATCTTAAAAGATGAAATGGCCATTTAGGGGCCAAATTGGTATGCTCAGGACTTCCATATGATGACAATAGAGGTGGTAAGGGCTCTCTGGGGGACATACATTATTACAGCAACTTCACTGCTAAGACTAAGCACATGACACATTGCTTGCCTTGACTATTCTAGTCCCTAAATATCCCTAAAGTCCCTAAAACCTGATTGCCAAGATACAAAAGTTAGTCTGTGTTTTGAAAAATATAGTTGCAAACACAAACATTATTCACGCTAGAATTAGACATGTATGACATTTGTAAAAAGTGTATGTTTATGGCCTCAAGAAAAAATATTGATCCCAGCACTACCATAAAATAACCAACTAAACTTAATATTAAACATGATGAAAGTGATTTCAAATGATTTGCTGACTTCAGCCACACCAAATCTCTCTCCAAAACCTGAAATATTATTCTAACTACAGAGAGTGTTTTGTAGTTTTATGATTGGTTTTACAAAAAATAAAACATAAAACAAATAAAGCACATTGTATTTTTCAGGACATCTATTTATATGTCTGTTACTACATAGTTTTATGTGGGGTGTTTCAAATAAAAACTTGACAAAAGTCATAATGACACATAGTGAAAGAAAATGAGAAAAGGACCATCTATACTTACAAACAAAATTAGGTGATAAAAAGGGAAACCAGCAACAGTGGTAAGAAGACTTCAAAATAAAAGCCATGAATGCCACTAAGGCCTGAAAACAACGACAAACAAAATGGTTACATTGAAACAGTAGGTCTAACAACTTCAGTTGTGATAGGAAAATCATAAATCCCCTTGGATCAAAACATACAACACTAAAGCCCACAAAATCATCATGAATGAACCTCTCTCCCCAAGACTATCTTGATGGCTTTGCTGGGTCTGGAACGTGGGTAAAGCCAACACACTGCATGGAAAGCTGGCAGGTAAAATAGACAAGCCACACTAACTGCAATGTTTGACCCAGATAGATCATTAAACTTCATAACACAAGTCACTAAGCACAGAATGTCTATTCATTCATAACATCTATTTATCACCCAAAGCCCTAATGGATCTGTGAATCACTCTAATGCATGACTAAAAAAAGGAAGAAACAGTGTGAACCTGCACATTGATGTTTTCTTTTTTGCCTTGAGAGTCAAGCACTTTATTTTTGTAAGTTTAGGCAGGAAGTAGTCCGAGGTAATTGAGAATCAAGGCACATTTTGTCTCTCTCACAGCCATTTTCGGTCTGCCTTCCACAAGACTGCCTCCACACAAACCAAAGAGACTAGAAAATGCATCCATCTTTTACAACAGAATCACTGGAATCACTGAGAACATGTCCTCTGAAATTGCTCTTGACATTTTCTGCCCACAGTTCATTGCACAAACCATAATGTGAACCTACTGCAAGAAAATGCATTCATCTGTTTCTTACCTCTGTTTGATGAGGCACAGGATTAAATCCGCACTGATTACACACGATGGCCTTGCATTCAGTGCAGGTACTGTAGTTGGGAGGATCTCTTCTCAGGTTTGCCTTGCAGAGTGGACAGGCTTTGGGAGGAAGTTTTGGGCTTTGATCTAATTTAGTGGCCTGAGCAGATGTGGTTTCCTTTGTTGTCGTTGTTTTTTGAGTGTCTTGGGGTTTACTTTGTTGCTGTTGCATTTTTCCCTCCTGTGTCTGTGATTTAGGAACACTGGTGGAGCCCTTAGTGGCCTCTGAGCCTTTTCTTGAGGAAGGGGGTGTGGAAGTCTTGACAGAGGTTTGGGAAATGGTGGAACCTTTTCGAGAGGTTGGTGGGGTTGTGGAGGGCTCATCCTGGACAGCTGAAATCAAATTGGACGCTGAGCTAAGAAATGAAGAACCAAAGCCTAGAACCTTTCCAGAAACAGAAGAGGCACCGGGCTGTGGAGAAGGAGAGCGGGATCGAGCGCCACCAAAACCGAAACCAAAGAAACTGGACTCTTCTTCTTTTTTAGGGGGCTCAGTCTTTGATGGTATCTCAGTTTTGGCAGGAGGAGCACCTTTTGTCGTCTGTTGTGGAGGAGGTTTTTGTTGTGACGTTTGCTCCGATGGATGAGCTGCCCTTGTGCTGGACTGGCTTGACGGTTTCTGACCCTCTGTTGGTTTGGTTGGCTGGCTGGCAGATGGGGGCATCTGCTTACTATGAGGAGTGTTTTTCTTTGCAGGGTTCTGTGATGGTACGGAGTCCTTGGGCTGTGGCTGGGCTTTTAGCGTAGGAGGTCCGCTGTTCTCTGCCCCTCCCAGAGCCCTCTGCATCTGGCAATTCAGGCAAAGCCACTCCTTAGCCTGCGTACATGGAGGATACACATTTGTTATACAATTGCTAGTTTTTAACTTAACAAGAAATTCAAATTAATCAGTTGTTTTGCATTGTTCCGCACAAAAAGACAATTTATACAGTGAAAAATGTCTTCTGAGGAATTAGGATTACTTATTCATGGTTGCATTGATGAAAAACTCTATTTACTTCTTTACTGAACGGTGATAAATAATTGTGAAAAATATGAGCTTTTGGGGAAAAAACATAAAAAATTTGTCAAGGAATTAAAACCATCACAGTCCAATAAAACGTGCTTCAGAGACAGTGGACTCTGGATTGAAACACATAATGGCGAACTTTCACCAGAGAGTAAAAAGTGACATGTAAATCTAGAGCGGTCTATTCGGCAACGGATATAAAACAAGATCTAGTTTCTTTTCCTTTTGAATCCCAAAAAAGAACAAAAAATACTTCAAATGAGACATGCATATTGTATACCACTGCTTTATGTATCACGCAAATACAGATTAAAAACTAAATGAGTTGTTAAATGAATTTTTACTCACAGTTGCATCCGGAGGACTGAACCCACACATGTTGCAGACCACTGATTTACATTGTGAGCAGGTGTTATGGTTGGGCGAATCCTTAGACTTAAGATTGAGTTCTGTATTTTTACAGACTGGACAGAGGGATTTCACCCCAGCTCCAGGTCCACCTTTCACTTGAGGCTCTGATGAAGGAGGCCTTGAGCCAACTGCACCTCCTGGATGAGACGCAGGTCCACTTGGGCCTTGTTGTTGAGGTCCACCCTTCCCAACACCCTGCTTAGGAGATCCACCCCCACCTGCTCCTTGTTGCAATCCTCCCCTGCCTTCTCCCTGTTGTGGAGGACCTCCTCTCCCAGCTCTTTGCTGTACAGGACTTCCCCGTCCAGCTCCTTGTGGTTGAGATCCACCCCGTCCAGCTCCTTGAACCTACTGCAAGAAAATGCATTCATCTGTTTCTTACCTCTGTTTGATGAGGCACAGGATTAAATCCGCACTGATTACACACGATGGCCTTGCATTCAGTGCAGGTACTGTAGTTGGGAGGATCTCTTCTCAGGTTTGCCTTGCAGAGTGGACAGGCTTTGGGAGGAAGTTTTGGGCTTTGATCTAATTTAGTGGCCTGAGCAGATGTGGTTTCCTTTGTTGTCGTTGTTTTTTGAGTGTCTTGGGGTTTACTTTGTTGCTGTTGCATTTTTCCCTCCTGTGTCTGTGATTTAGGAACACTGGTGGAGCCCTTAGTGGCCTCTGAGCCTTTTCTTGAGGAAGGGGGTGTGGAAGTCTTGACAGAGGTTTGGGAAATGGTGGAACCTTTTCGAGAGGCTGGTGGGGTTGTGGAGGGCTCATCCTGGACAGCTGAAATCAAATTGGACGCTGAGCTAAGAAATGAAGAACCAAAGCCTAGAACCTTTCCAGAAACAGAAGAGGCACCGGGCTGTGGAGAAGGAGAGCAGGATCGAGCGCCACCAAAGCCGAAACCAAAGAAACTGGACTCTTCTTCTTTTTTAGGGGGCTCAGTCTTTGATGGTGTCTCAGTTTTGGCAGGAGGAGCACCTTTTGTCGTCTGTTGTGGAGGAGGTTTTTGTTGTGACGTTTGCTCCGATGGATGAGCTGCCCTTGTGCTGGACTGGCTTGACGGTTTCTGACCCTCTGTTGGTTTGGTTGGCTGGCTGGCAGATGGGGGCATCTGCTTACTATGAGGAGTGTTTTTCTTTGCAGGGTTCTGTGATGGTACGGAGTCCTTGGGCTGTGGCTGGGCTTTTAGCGTAGGAGGTCCGCTGTTCTCTGCCCCTCCCAGAGCCCTCTGCATCTGGCAATTCAGGCAAAGCCACTCCTTAGCCTGCGTACATGGAGGATACACATTTGTTATACAATTGCTAGTTTTTAACTTAACAAGAAATTCAAATTAATCAGTTGTTTTGCATTGTTCCGCACAAAAAGACAATTTATACAGTGAAAAATGTCTTCTGAGGAATTAGGATTACTTATTCATGGTTGCATTGATGAAAAACTCTATTTACTTCTTTACTGAACGGTGATAAATAATTGTGAAAAATATGAGCTTTTGGGGAAAAAACATAAAAAATTTGTCAAGGAATTAAAACCATCACAGTCCAATAAAACGTGCTTCAGAGACAGTGGACTCTGGATTGAAACACATAATGGCGAACTTTCACCAGAGAGTAAAAAGTGACATGTAAATCTAGAGCGGTCTATTCGGCAACGGATATAAAACAAGATCTAGTTTCTTTTCCTTTTGAATCCCAAAAAAGAACAAAAAATACTTCAAATGAGACATGCATATTGTATACCACTGCTTTATGTATCACGCAAATACAGATTAAAAACTAAATGAGTTGTTAAATGAATTTTTACTCACAGTTGCATCCGGAGGACTGAACCCACACATGTTGCAGACCACTGATTTACATTGTGAGCAGGTGTTATGGTTGGGCGAATCCTTAGACTTAAGATTGAGTTCTGTATTTTTACAGACTGGACAGAGGGATTTCACCCCAGCTCCAGGTCCACCTTTCACTTGAGGCTCTGATGAAGGAGGCCTTGAGCCAACTGCACCTCCTGGATGAGACGCAGGTCCACTTGGGCCTTGTTGTTGAGGTCCACCCTTCCCAACACCCTGCTTAGGAGATCCACCCCCACCTGCTCCTTGTTGCAATCCTCCCCTGCCTTCTCCCTGTTGTGGAGGACCTCCTCTCCCAGCTCTTTGCTGTACAGGACTTCCCCGTCCAGCTTCTTGTGGTTGAGATCCACCCCGTCCAGCTCCTTGTGGTTGAGATCCACCTCGTCCAGCTCCTTGGCCACCCATTCCCACACCCTGTGTCTGCTGTCCACTTTGCCTCTGAGGCCCCTGTGAGGCTGGTTGGCCATTCCCCTGCTGTTGAGGATCCTTCTGCTTTGAGGGTCCTGGAGGCTGCTGTTGTTGCTTTTCCTCCTCATCCCCAAAACGACTGAACTTGTTTACAGCAGAGGACATTGCACTTAGAGGATTCCCCCCACTCAGAAAGTTGGAGGAGAACATGTTGGCTGTTGGGAATGGGGCTCTGAAGACTGGTGTAGGAGAGGGCTGGGATGGGGGGAGCCCAGAGGAGGGAGTCTCTCTCTAGTTGAAGTTATCCCTCACATTTACCTCCAGTGTCCCTTAGGAAATAGAAAATGGACAATGAAAAGAGAGAATTCATGCATCACTTGTGTTTTTATTGCACACATATATATGTGCATGCATTAAACATCAAGTAACACCATATACATAATAATATTAAAATATTAGTAGTTCCAGACTCCATAAACAAAATGATTTAATACCATGTTACATTTTAAATATACGTCAGTTCTGCCTAAGACAAAATGGGGTGAAATGAGAATAGTATTTTGACTGAAAGTGTTGTTATTTTCAGGCATAGTTTAGCCAAGTCGTCTTCTTCAAAGCAAGTAAAAACCTCATTTAAGAAAGAGTGGTACATAAGATAAGCAAAACATTTTAAACAAACAGTCATCAACTTCATAAGTCATATGTAGAGGTTGTAGATGGTAGATGATCAATCTCACATAGTCACGATCTGCAGCACTGACACTGACATATAACATCCAGTCATATAGTAAATAAATTAGCTAACATTGAGGCATAGAGGCTCCCTTACTGCCCTGATCATCATGCATTCCCCCTTTACATAATCTAAAACTATTTTAATCAGCACTTTTTCCTTATGTAGTTTGCATGATCTTATATTACCTGGTGTTCTGAATGACATTGCATTGGAATGCATACATTATAGACAACATGTCTGTTATAGACCATACTATGAAAATAATGCGTTGATTAAAAAAAGTTCATGCCCATTGTATTTGACAACTGCAATCCAAATTGTGAGTTAAGATTCTGCATTTACAGTGACAAAACTAATGACAGTTTGGAAAAGATAATTTTACTACGCATATTGTTTATCAACATGTGTAATACACTTACAAATTCAGCATGAATATGTAACAGCGATGAAACACTTACAATCTCGTGAAAAAGCATGACTGCATTCGCCCTGTAATTGACTGAGCGTTTGGACGTTTCCCTTCAGCACCCTGGACAGCGCTCTACGATCAGCTCATGCATCACGTCTCTCTGCCTTTCAGCGTGAAATACAACACGCCACACCATTCACAGCAGTAACTCTACACGGACACATTTATGATGAGGAACTTTAAAGGGTCAGTGGGTTTTCTGTGTGTATTTATTCGCAAATGTAGAAATGTTTTTCAGTATACCGCGCGCTATAAAAATTAAAACCACATTGGCGATCATTAACCTGATATCAACTTTAACAGCCCACAAACATATATTGACAGATTGTTAAGTTTTTTTTTCTGCTTCTGCTCCTTCAAAAGCAACATCTATAGCCCGTCGGCATATCCGGGTTGTAAACCCTCCGCTGCATGTGTAAAACACAAATGGGTTTACAACCTTATGTTAAAGAAAACGTAATGTTTCGTTATTTAAATGATTGGCAGTTTTAGTTACACGAAATCAGGATATGTTTTTGCTCCAATTTACCCCAAAACACTGTAATATTATATGTTGGTTATTTGATATGAGGTTGTAGATGGTAGATGATCAATCTCTGACAGTCACGATCTGCAGTAATCACACTGATCTCGCCACATGACATTCAAACGGGAAATAAAAGAGCAAACGGTGAGAAATGGAAGTTCCCTCACTGTCCAGATCATGATGCATTTGCCCTTGATCATACCCTGTCGGAGGATTTCCCAGCCTCATCACTAAAACCGCATCCGTCCGAAAGCATTTCCAGACTAGAAGTATTCCTCTACTACAACACACCATCACAATCATCCTTCCTCAAAACTACCACTGTGATCAGACGGAAAAACATGCTTATTTTCATCAGAACGGCCAGCTGAAGTGGTAAAAACAGCATCCTACCTTACAGCGTGCGAGCATCCCTATTTATTCTCCCATTTCTGTCTCTCTAGTGCTGTTTGGTGATCGGCTGCTCGGCGTCTAGGATGGAGGTTACGAGGATCTGAGGGCATACCCGCGTTCACAATCGCCTCCTCTGCGCATGCGCCGCACATGACAGGTGATCAGCATACATCACCTCGCGAAAATTGAATTTAAAGCGACATAATCATTCGTCTCTGACAAACTGTCCGCTAATAATCGGCTTCCGTTTGTTTGGGCATCTGTTAGGGGTTTGATATCGTTGAGGCACATAAGAATGTTGACAGTGTATTAGTATAAATAAATAAACAAAACCTCCAAATTATTAGTATTATCCCAATACTGTTTTTATAAAATGTTGATAAAATTTGTAAACATTATTTTAATATTATTATGATAATAATGATTAATATTGTTGTCACCTACTGTAGTTAACCTTTTATATGTAAAAACATATAAAGATAAGGTGGATAAATTATCAAATGGATAAAAAAAATAAATAAATCGAAATAAAAACATGGCAACTGCAATATTATCCACCCCTCTGTCAATACGCAATGATACTACTAACCAATAAACAAGCAATTCTTTAGAACAAATAAATAATTTATATGATTTCAAATGTTGAAATCATATAAAAAATTATTTTTAGTTTTTTTGAAAATGAAGTTCAATCACTAACAAATCGCCACCTTGGAATTATAAGGTTCTATCTGCATTCTGAGCAGTTTAGAGATATTGAGCTTCAAAGTTTTGCGTCCCATAGACTTCTGTAGATAGAACCATTTTTGTTTTCTTAGAAAAGGGCCCAAAATGTACACAGCTTACAAAAGAAACATCACATAATGTAAATAAGTTGTCACATAAGAATATGTGAATAACTCCATTTTGACAAAAAATGTCAGATAGAACCTTATAATTCCAAGGCGACTAAATTTCAATGATACTTTAGATAAATGCTTTTTCTAAAGGAAACTATACAAAGCAAAAATATGTAACCTATATGTAAAATGTAAAAATATGTAAATTTTTGTGTCAGAAAAGATAACCATGTCATTTACATCTTTTGTGCTTGAATGAAAATACATACATACATACATACAACCCTGAGGCGATAGTGTGCAACAGAAGGTTAAACAGCGACAATAACAACAACAACAAATATATATATAGCTGTAGTCAGTATAAAAGAGAGAGCCTGTGGCAATGGCCTAAATCAGTTCACCTTCAAATTCATAGTAAACATTGATGGGGTATGACAATTCATGTTCTCGCTTGTCTCTTCTACTTTTTCTCTATTCTTGCTTGTCATTTGTCTGTGCATACTTACTCACATGCAGCATCATTCAATTCCAAGGCAGCGAGAGAAGCATGCTTTTCTCTGTCTGCATTATAGTTTTTATTTTTTTTTTTGCCTGGCAGGATCAGATATGGTCCTGGGAGAATCTAATGTGCTCCACTCTACTGCTAATGGTCGATCCATAAAAGACCATCAGTGCCGCCATGCCAGCACCATTACCTGAGTCTTGCTGCCCCATCCTTCTTCCAGAATGGAGCTCTCAACAGTCATCAGACTTCAAATATTTCAATAACTAGCCAATATAAGATCTTCTCTTTCCTACTGTCTCTAAAGCAGTGGTTCTTGTAATTATACATGAATTATACATTTAATAACATGTTATTATACATTAACTTCATGTACTTACAATATGGGTAGGGTTAGGATTAGGGTTTGGCTTAGGGTTACTTGCATGTAATTATTCATAATTTATTGTTATTGTAATAGTAGTAACATGTAATGTGTAACAATGACACCTTAAAATAAAGTGTTACCAAATAGAATGATAGATGTAACAATAGAATGACAGATATAACAATAAATAGATAGAACCATAAATATGACAACACAATAGATTTAAGGCAGATTTATATAATTGGACAGAACGATAGTTAAAACAATAGAACGATAGAACGAACGATAGAATGGTAGAACGAACGACAGAACAATAGAATGAATGATTAAACGAACGAACGATAGATTGATCGATAGATAGATGTTTCGTTGAAGAAATAAAAATCATTGTAACAACATAGAGCTGAGTAAATTAATACGTTTTCTTACTTTCTTTTTTTTTTTTTGTCTGAACTACTGTATTTCTTTAATCCAATATGAATCGCTACATTAGCACGAGGTTAGTGGTTTGTGTTGAAATAATGTATTTTTTATAAATTCTACAAACATGCTGGAAAATGTTATAAAATTGCTTTGAATGAGGTATGTAGTGAAATCCAGAACTCCTCTGGAAACATATGCGTTGCCAAAAAAAATAAAATAATTTGGCTCTAATGCAGTAATGTAAACATAGACATAAGAAGAACATAAGAAATTCACCCCATTTCTCTATTCCGTCACCGAACAAAATTCTGCTATTAAAACACACAGATCAAGACAGCCAGAGAGAGTCACGTTTCCCCAGAGCCTGCTCCTGTGAGTGAGCGTGTGTGCGGTGAGGACGTGAGCGAGTCGTGCATGGCTTCAATCCCCCACGCTTCACTCTCCCACTCGGCCTGCACGTCATGTGTTGGGGGAGGGCCGCGTGTACGCGTGTGTAGCTGCTGATTATGTGTTGCGTCATGCGTGGGGAAGTGTAAAGGAAGCTGGAATCATTCTTCCTCTCCCACCATTTGTCTGTGTGTGGGTGGGTGGGAGTGTGTCTGTACACATGGCCAGATTGGATTGAATATTTCTCTAGACATGGTTACAGCACCATTCTCACCCAGAGGAACATATTGCTCTTTCAAAGCTCAAGTAGACTGAATGGATTTCTCATTTATGTTTCAAGCAAAAACAAATTTGTCTCAGACATTTCTCAGGGATAAATAAAATGTACACAAATGAGATTGACACATCAAGAGTAAAGAAAAGAAGAACCTAATGAGAAATATTTGTGTTTATATTGAGATCTCGCCGACTTTGCTGTATATATATATATATATATACAGTGGGTACGGAAAGTATTCAGACCCCCTTAAATTTTTCACTCTTTGTTATATTGCAGCCATTTGCTAAAATCATTTAAGTTAATTTTTTTTTCCTCATTAATCAAAGGGTCTGAATACTTAGGACCGTGTGATATTTCAGTTTTTCTTTTTTGATAAATCTGCAAAAATGTCAACAATTCTGTGTTTTTCTGTCAATATGGGGTGCTGTGTGTACATTAATGAGGAAAAAAAATTAACTTAAATGATTTTAGCAAATGGCTGCAATATAACAAAGAGTGAAAAATTTAAGGGGGTCTGAATACTTTCCGTACCCACTGTATATTTGTGTGTGTGTACCTGTTTTTCTATTCTGGTGGGGACTTAAACCTGAATACACACAGACTCATGGGGACTTGTGTCATGGTGGGGACCTAAATTGAGGTCCCCACGGGTAAACAAGCTAATAAATCACACAGAATTAAGTTTTTTGAAAATCTAAAAATGCAGAAAGTTTCCTGTGAGGGGTAGGTTTAGGTGTAGGGTTGGTGTAGGGCAATAGAATATACGGTCTGTACAGTAGGAAAACCATTACGCCTATGGAGAGTCCCCACAAGGATAGCTGACCAGACATGTGTGTGTGTGCGTGTGTGTATGTGTGTGTGTGTGTGTATAGTTGAGTTCTCACCTGAAACTCTAAAGATATAATGGCAATACCATATTCACATCTTATATTTTTTACTGAACTCCAAGAAACTTCAAAATTTACCATAACTATACATCTTCATAATATTATAAATTCATAATATTAATTTTCAAAAGTTTGGGGTCGGTAAGATTATTTAATGTTTTTCAAAGTCTTGCATATTCAGTAAAGTTGCGTTTATTTAAAAATACAGTAAAAACAGTAATTGTGAAATATTATTTTTAACATTTTAAATAACTGTTTTCTATTTAATTTTTTTATTTTTTTTATTTTGTGATGCAAAGCTAAATTTTCAGCAGCCATTACTCCAGTGCTCAATGTCACATGATCCTTTAGAAATCATTATAATATGCTGATATGGTGCTCAAGTATTATTACCATTAATGTTGAAAACAGTTTTTTTTTTTTAGGATTCTTTGATGAATAGAAAGTTCAAAGGAACAGCATTTATTTTACATAGAATAATCTAAAATGACATCTAACACCCTGAATGTCACTTCTGATCAATGTAATGCACCATTTCTGAAATAAAATGTTAATGTCTTAAAAGAAAAAAAATCTAACTGACCCAAACTTTTGAATGGTAGTATATCTATCTATCTATCTATCTATCTATCTATATTTAGTTTAATGAAAACATAAAAGCCAGTCACAGCCATTAATTTAGAACACGTCTTTATAATATCCAACTTAATATTTTTCTCATGTTTTAGATGATCATTAGAAAGTCCTTGCCATAGAAAGTTTGAAAACCCCGCTATAGTCCTTTTATTGGTTTACTGTAGCTTGCCATAGGCCCATGAATAGATCAGCTGTTTGTTTGCATGTCTATGTGTGTGTGCATGTGTTTGAGTGATGTCTGGGGATGTAGGAGCATGTCTTCGCTTTCGGTAAGCTCTGCTGCTCCGCTGGCCCTGACATGTTATTCCATCAAGCATGCCTAAACCTTTTGACATTTGTCCTGAAACAAACTTTCTCTTTTTCTGTCTCTTCAAGTGTCTCAGCTTTTCATGCATAAACAAACGTAGACATAGAAATCGACGCAAGCATGCATAAACACTGCTAAAAATATACACGTACCAAAACACGAGGACACGAACAGATGGACAAGCCCAGATAAACAGAAGCGACACTGACAAATACACATTCACACGTGCACTCATCATGTTAGTCCTTGAATATTCTTGCTTTGACTCAGCAGTATTCATTCACGTAATAATTTGAATAATAATATTTGAAGCATACATGCTGATGTTATTAACTGTTATTAATGATGTTGTAATCTACTTATACATACACACAAAGGCATGTGGAGTACAGCAGAGGGTCAGGCTGTAATTAATACTGTAACTTGATCACACACTGTTTGCCAGTTTCATTAAATTTAAATATCTGCCCTGGAGAGGAAAGAATGGACCGGGTTGTCCAGCAAGAAAAAAATAGCTTGACAGCTAGTTCACAGCAAACCCCCATCCCTCCATCATAAATTAATTTCATATCTGCAAGCCAAGCGTGATGTAAAGCTTGCATGTATGATAGTGTACGGTTACATTGTTGAATACAAAATATTGGAGCCAATAACCTATCCAAATACTGTTTATTACAAAAAAAATAAAAATAAAAAATACAAAATACACAATTGCAACCACTTACCTAATTTTAGCCCCAACAAATTAAGGTTGAACGCATGCAAATAACCCAAGTCCAGTGTGTTTAATGGCGTTAGGCTGTGTGAATTCCCTTAAAAAGCTGTTAAATCCACAGTACATCAGCGTCTCTCCTTGCCATCCATGTTCACAGGCTGCCACTGCACTGCCGCCACTAACTCTGATTTTCCCCACCACTGACCATCATTAACTATCAGCCTAAAATATTCTTAAAGAGACAGCATCACTCTCTCTCCCCTCGCGCTCTTTCGACACCCTTCCAGCTGACTAGGGACTGCCCTAATCTCCTCCTGCTTGTACGGACCAATCAGAAGCAGGCAGGAAATCAGTAGTGATGTTTAGTGAGAGAGGAGGAAAGAGTGAGAAATAGACAGCTGCGGATAATAGATATGGAGCGAGTGTAGACAAGAATCAGCAGGAGATTATGTACTTAAAAGATCCTGTCCGGTATATGATGGCTTGCAGGATGCTGTGGATGGGTTTTTACCATTACCGGTTCAGCTTAGGCTTATGTTTTATTTAATTTTTTATTCGAAATATTCCCAAACTATATCATGAAATATCTCTATTCTCAAATATGTGTAAGTAAAATAGCAAATTAGCAAATTTGTGTGATGCCCCTCCCTCAGAAATATGCAATGGGCTCAGATTGGTTAGCTAGTCCAGTGTGTTGTGATTGGCTAAACCGCCTCTAGTGCTACTACTGCTACTGTTAGCTTTTAATATACGGTTTTATCCTGATTAAAGCTTTAATACAGTACTGTAACCGCACGCGCATCCATGTATAACGCTTCTCATAGCTATGTGAAAATAAGTGTA